GGTTTGATTTTTATAATTGATAGGGAGTAAGGAAAATCATCCTTGTCCCTTCAAAGGTTGGCACTAAAACTAAAAGAACGCCTACTATTCTGAGAAGACTGCGATGACTTTTAGTATTTCTAATGTGATCTAGATTTTGCAAATTGAGGTTTAAAACATTCATGATAATTTAAAATCTCTGTGTGTCCTCAGGCGACTACCCTAATGCCCTGGCCAGCCACAAGCAGTGCGTGTTACTTCTGAAACAGTCACGTGAGGTTCTGGCGGAGGCTCGGGAGATCGGCAATGTCGGGGCCGTGTACCTGGCCATGGGCAACTTTGAGGACGCTGTGGAATGCCACCAGGAGCATCTCAAGATCGCCCGCAGTGCCAAGTCCAACGTTGAAGAAGCGAGAGCTTACAGTAACCTGGGCAGCGCTTACCACTATAAAAGAGACTACCAGAAAGCGATGTTGTTTCATAAAGAGGTTCTGAAGATCGCCGAGCAGAATAAGGACAAGACTTTGGAGGCGAGGGCGTATGCTGGTCTAGGACACGCGGCACGGTGTAGCGGAGACACTCTCGCCGCTAAAGCGTACCACGAGAAGCAGCTCGATAACGCTTTGCAGACTAAAGACAAAGTAGCTGAGGGAAGGGCGTGTTCAAATCTAGGTATTATTTTCCATCAGCTGGGTGAGTACGAAGCGGCGCTGAAGCTGCACAAAGTCCACCTGAAGATCGCAAAAGCCCTGCAGGACAGGGCTAGTCAGGGCAGAGCGTACGGGAATATCGGTAACGCTTACAGCGCGTTAGGGAAACACGAGCTTGCGGTGAAGCAACATAAACAGGAGCTGGCCATCTCTTCAGAGGTCAACGACCGCCACTCGGAGGGTTCTACTCACGGTAACTTGGCTGTGGCCTTCCAGGCGCTGGGCGAGACGGAGAACGCACTGCACCATTATCTTTCTCACTTGAGCATCTCTCGGGAACTCAAAGACTTGCCCAGCGAGGCGAGGGCTCTGTGCAATTTAGGGAATTTCCACTGTGCCAGAGGGAATCATTCCAGTGCTGTGTCATTTTACGAGCAGTTCCTCGCGCTGTCGAAGGAGCTCAACGATTCTGAAGGCGAGAGCAAGGCGTGCTTCAACCTCGGTTATGTTCATTTTAACTTGGGGAATTATTCTGAAGCCGTGAGGTATTACGAGCAGGACTTGGCGTTCGCCAGAGATAGAAAAGATCGTCTGGCTCTAGCAAGAGCCTACTGCAATCTCGGCCTTGCTCACAAATCTCTTCAGAGGTTCGAAGACGCTCTAGAATGTCAGAAGAAATGTCTGCGTTTGATGGATGCTTTGGAGAATACTCCAGGAAAACTCCGTGCCCTGGGAAATATCGGCGACTTGATGCTCAAAGTGGGAGACATCAACGAGGCGATCAAAATCTACCAGCAGCAGTTGACGTTAGCCAAACAGTGTGACAGCCCGGACCTATTGGCCACTGCCTACGGCGCTCTGGGCTCGGCACACAGGATGCTGGGCCAGTACGACAAGTCACTTGCCTACCACACGCAGGAGCTGAACATCCGGCAGGAGATGAGTGACCTCAGGGGCGAGTGTCGCGCTCAAGGGAGTGTTGGAAATGTTCACATGTCTCTGGGCAACTTCTTGACGGCTTACAAGTACTACCAGGAGATGCTGGAGAGGAGCAAAGAGCTAGGCGATCATCGGTTAGAGGGTCAGGCTTGTGGCAATTTAGGCATCACCAAGATGAATATGGGGCAGTATGAGGACGCCATCGGTCTCCTGGAAGAGCAGCTCGCCATGTTGGAGCAGCATTACGGTCCCACCACGCTGCAGGACAAAGGAAAAGCGTTCGGGAATCTGGGAGACTGCTACGAAGCGTTAGGCGACTACGAAGAAGCCGTCAAATGGCATGAGCAATGTCTGATCATCGCCCAGCAGAACAACTCTCTCACCGACCAGGACCGCGCCTACCGCGGGTTGGGAAACGCCCACAAAGCTATCGGGAACCTGCAGCAAGCCCTGGTATGTTTCGAGAAGCGTTTGTACGTTGCTCACAGAACCAACAGCGCCACGGCGAAAGCGTCCGCGTACGGCGAGTTGGGATGTCTGCATAGCCTTCTGGGGAATCTAGAGCAAGCGATAGCATGTTTAGAGCACCAGTTATCTCTGGCTGGGGAGATGGGCGAGGCTACGTGTCAGGGCGACGCAGCGTGCGGGCTGGGGGGAGTCTACCAGCAGATGGGAGAGTACGACACGGCCTTGACCTACCACCAAATGGACCTGCGTATTGCGGAGGAGACGAACAACACAGCGTGCCAGTGTGAGTACTTAATAATAATAATAATAATAATAATATAATAATAATAATAATAATATTAATAATAATAATATACAATTGCATGTACATCGCGCATATCCATTCTATGCGCTTTACAATCATTATTACCCCAGCAGACCCTAGAACTAATAGAAACTCTCGCATCCTCTCGGGGAGCTTACAGTGCAAGCCGCGGATTGCTCGCGCCAAAACGCTAATTGACAAGATCTGTCGCTTTATGTGGTGTATTTGTGAGTGTCAGTGTAGGCGACCTATTGCCCCTTTTGGGCTCCATGGAATAGTCGGGGTCAGAGATAGCATATGCGTTTTGGGGTCTGGGAGGGGGTGAGGGGTATTGGTTCAATTTATTTTACCACATTCAATTTTTCATCCTTTCTTTCATTTGTTCGTTCATAAATGTGTACTTTCCTTCTTTTTTACTTTTTAGAATCTATGTATTCCTTCATTCATTCACTCACTCTTTCAATTTTTTGTACTTGAATCTTTCATTAGATTCACAATAGAGAGTGTAAGCGATAAAGCAGTGATTTTTATCTTGGTTTTTCATTGTCATTATTTTTTCCGGAATTCGTGAAATAATATTAAAATAAACCATATCCCCTGGCCACCCCACCCCCACAACCCTACTTTGTCTTCATCTTCCCCCTCCCGCCGCCCCACCCCTGCACTTTCCTCTCCACCTTTGTCCACTCCGCCTCCTTTTCCCTCCTTCCCACCCCCCTTCTTAACATATCTCCCTCTACCTTCTTCCCCGGCCCCCTTCTTCCCCCTTTTGCCACCTTCCTCCCGTTCTCTCCTCCCTTAACGTCCTTCTTCCCCTCCCTCTAACTCCTTCCTCCCGCCCTCTTCTCCCCTCCTCACCCCACTCTCTACCTCCATCCCCCCATCTCCTTCCCCCTTCCCTATCTCCTTCCCCCTCCCCCATCTCCTTACCCCACCTCCCTCTCCTTTCTCCCCTTCCCCTATCCCCTTCTCCCCTCTCCCCACCACCTCCCCAATCCCGTTCTCCCTTATCCCCTCACCTTCCGCCAACAGGCCGGGCGTACGGTAACCTGGGCCTGTCCTACGAGTCCCTGGGGAACCTAGAGGAAGCGGTCAGACACCAGGAGCAGCATCTCAGTATTGCCGCGCAGATGAAGGACGGGGTGGCCAAGACGTTAGCCTTCAGCAGTCTAGGTAAGCGTAGTGGTATCTCTCTCTGTCTCTCTCTCTGTCTGTCTGTCTGTCTGTCTGTCTGTCTGTCTGTCTGTCTGTCTGTCTGTCTGTCTCTCTCTCTCTCCCGCTATCTCACTCTCTCTCTCTCACTCTGTCTGTCTGTCTGTCTGTCTGTCTGTCTGTCTGTCTGTCTGTCTCACTCACACACAAACACACACACACACACGCACACACACACGCACACACACACACACTCAGTATTGCGGCACAGATGAAGGACGGGGTGGCCAAGGCGTTAGCCTTTAGCAGTCTAGGTGAGTGGTCACATAACACGCACGCACGCACACGCACACACACACACACACATACACACACACACACACACACACGCAAACACACACACACACACACGAACGCACACACACACACACATACACATTAAAACACACACATACGCACACACCCACACACACACAGGCACTCACACATACTTTAGATGAAGAACGGAGTGGCCTAGACATCAGCCTTAAGCAGTCTCGGTGAGTGGTTATTCTCTGTCTCCCTCTCTGCCTCTGTCTGCCTTCTGTCTGTCTATCTGTCTCTCTGTTTGTCTGTCTGTCTGTCTGTCTGTCTGTCTGTCTGTCTGTCTGTCTGTCTGTCTGTCTGTCTGTCTGTCTGTCTGTCTGTACGTCTGTACGTCTATCCCACTCTCTCTTTCACTCTCTCACACCCTCTTTTTCTGCTCTCACATCCCCTATCTCGATCTCCCTTCCTACTCCCCTTCCCCTTTTCTCTATCGCTCTTCCTCTCCCTCACTCCCAGCCAGGTGACATGTCACTTGAATTTTGAAAAAAATCAACAACAAAAGAAACAAAACAACAACAGCAACAGCAACAACAACGACTACAGCAACAAACATTCACGCAAAAATATGCTCATATTACTCCCTCGCACCCCCCCTCCCTTCCCCACGATATCTGCACCC